TGACATTATTATTGATAATAGAGGTATCCCTGTTAGCCGTCTATCGATCGATCTGATCGATCGAGCCGGGTAGCGTAGGATTCCGCTGTATGCTAGCAATGTATATGGCTCCATATCACCCTTATACTCCGGTCTCTCGCTGTCTTCCTGTCTCGCTCTGCTGGCCCGTCGAGTCGCCTGCATGATTGTTGATGTCAAGCCAAGCGTCATCCGTTGTCATGCTGAGTCAGTGGTATTGGTATGTAACACCGGTAACGGTATGTAAAGTGTTACTCGTTCTATACATCCGTTTAGGTCTAGCGCCGCCAAGAGATCATCCGAAAAAGTGTTAACCTTAAAAAACGCTTGACCCACACTTAACTTAAACCTTATTCGCTCCTAACCTAACCTTCTTTTTCTCTCCTTCTTGGACATCAGAAGAAAAACAAAAAAAGGCCCTCGCCATCCTCCTCGCCGTCTCGTTCTTCTTCGTCTCTCCTGCGCCGTCTCTTCGCTGCCTCCTCCTCCTCCACCCCATCCGTCTCTTCTCCACGCCCGCCGCCCACACACCAGACGAACGAATATCCACCTGCTAGTCTCTTAGTCTTGTTGCTTTGCTTTTTCCTCCCCCCCCCCGTCTTCCTTTGCTCTCTCATCTCTCGCCGCAAACACCAGCGCCCTGGAAGGTTAGTCAACCACTTGGCTCCTCCAAAAGAAACATACACATCGAGAATCTCGGTGGTGCTTCTCCTGCGCGGTGTTTCCTTTTTTGATACTCCTTACAAAAAAAAAAAAAAAAAAAAGAAAGAAAAAGAAAGAGGATATAGAAGTCAAGCCAGACGCAGGGCTGGGTCTGTCTGCTTCGAACAAGGCCGCCTTGCTTTTTTCACTGTGGTTTCACCCTCATTCTTCTCCTTCTCTGCCTCTGCTTCTGCTGCCTCTTAACTTTTTTGGCCTTCTCATTTTCTTTTCTTTTCTTCTTTGCTTTCTAACTGTAAGCTTTTTTGCTTTTGACTTTGGCTTTGCTTTCTTCTCTTTTGCCCTGCCGCCGCTACGAACTCACAGGGAGAGCAGAGAGATCGCTTGCTGCCGATTACTGTTGCTATCTGGCTGCTGGGCTCGCTGCCATTTCATTTGCTCCCCCCGTTTGTTTCATACTTCATCACTATAATATTATATTAAGATCGCTGCTCGCACTCCTCCGGCCTCGACCTGGTCTCTCACATTTCCCATAACCTCTATCAAAAGCCCCATCAACACTCGACAGCGCATTCGCATCCTTCTCCCGACGTCTCCATCTCCATTCATCCGTGCCGCGGTGCATGCTCCCGTAGAAATCAACCAGACGGCCTCCTCCTCTTCCCTCCCATCTCTTCCTTTCGCACGCACCGCTACCATGCCTCGCACACGTAGCTTCCCGTGTTCGTGGGTCTCATGCAAAAAGGTATGTCTGACCGCAGATGCAACGACTCGACCTCTACTATGCCTCTGATGCTACTAGAAGATGCATGTTTTACACCTGCTAACATTGATGGACTGCAGGTGTTCAATCGCAAGTCAGATCTTTGCAGACACTACCGGATTCACACGAATGAGCGGCCGTATCGATGCAACTTCCCGAACTGTACCAAAAGCTTCATTCAGCGTTCGGCGTTGACGGTGCACTCTCGCACACATACTGGAGAGAAACCGCATGTCTGCAACTTTGCAAACTGCAGCAAAGCATTCTCAGATGTACATCTCTCTTTACCTCTTGGTGGAGGAACAAAACAAATTTATCTAACGTCCTGCCCAGTCGTCGAGTCTTGCTAGACATAGAAGAATACACACCGGTCGACGGCCGTACAAGTGTCTGGAACCAACGTGTGATCGAAGGTTCGTTTTACTATATCGCCGGGGGAAGGATGGTCGTTGAAAAAAAGAATGCGCAAGTTGACTGTGTACGGTGTATAGCTTCTGTCGCAAGACAACACTCACAAAACATCAGAGCCGCTCACATCAACCAGAGGCCGTTTCCCCCTCTGCGCAATCATGCGAATCAGAGCTCTATTCTCAGCAGGCGCAGCACCCAATGTCGATGATGTCACAGTCGCCGCAGGTACCGCAGCACCAACTGCAATCGCAACAGTCTCAGCCGCAGGAACAGCAGCTCCAGTCACAACCACAACATCTACAATCTCAGCCGCGGCCACAACAACATTCCCCATACCAACAGCAACACTCACCCGTAATAGCAGTACCCGTAGCGGACTACTTCCACCACGCCCAAGCCCAACCAACAACTGTCCATTCCATCCCCATCTCCGCAGAACAATCCATCCTTCCCCCACAGGTGCACTATGTCACAACGGGCATGATACCATCCCAAATCCCCCGTTATGACATCCCAATCACAACTTCAGCATCTGTCTCCACACCAACATCCATGGATCACCTCGCATACCACCATTCCGTTTCCGTATCTATGCCCCAGCAGCAGCGGATACAAGCACCGCAACCTGTCCCAATCCCACATCAGGCAGACGGGGGCCTCCAGGTTCTCCCTGTTGTTGCAGGCGGAGCCGGCGGACAGTATATGAAGGAATTCGATCAAATGAAACATGGCCAGCAAAGGTTCTTTGGATCAGCATTCCCGGAACAGATGAATTGGGAATTTTTGGGCTTGAGTTAGCATAGCGCTGGCTACCATGCATAGCGATACAACGACGATTACGAGGACTTTACGCAAAACAGACTAATGCAAATGAACGAGTTATTCATTGAAAGATATGCATCCCCCTCAAGCGCAGTCTGCACATACCGACCATCTCCCGATCCGTTCCAGCCCGCTCCCCTTTTTTTTTCTTGTTCATTCCCCGTCTGCGAATACCCCTTATCGCTTTTTTTTTTTTTTTTTTTTTTTTTTTTTTTTAAATATATAAGCCAGGCCTCTCTTCACTTCTTCTTGTTACTTGTTTTACTCTAGTTTTACCTCTCTCTTGAACGGCCCGGAAACTTGGAAACGGCCTGGCGTTGTTTATGTTGGCTTCTCTGCATGGTTATCATTCATCATTTTCCTTAGCTTTCGTCTCCGTCTGGCGCTGAAATATGTCGCTATATCTCTTGTACCTACAGTCGTGGAATGGCTGGCGATGTCTTCCTGCCTTGATATATCTATACATAGATATCTCTTTCTACCATATCCACTGATACATCTTCTTCTCTCCTTTTTCCTTCTTTTTTCCTATACAGCGAGACTTATTGGTGGTTTAGCTAAGCTCTGCTCTTCGCCTTCTCCTTTTCCTCATTGATGCCTCTGATTTATTCCGTTACTCATCCTAATATCCCCCTTATTCAATTATATGGTGGAGAAAACGAGGACGGGAGGAGACTTGAGGATCCGATCTACGGGCCATGTCTGCTTCTACCGAACTCAGCGGACCACTGAACCACGGTTGATGGTTGATGGCTTCGTTTTGGTATATATCTATTTCTTGTTTATACTTACGCTTTTGTCTATTCTTCCTTCACTTCTCATTTTCTTTTTCCCTTTCTCTTATATCTTTTTTTCCTTTTTAAAAATGTTTATACGGAGAGACTTTTCGAATAAATGGGAAATTAATTGGACTTACAAGCGGTCATATATCCTTGCAAGACACATATTCCATTACTTAGCATAGCATAGCCAGCATGAAATTTGACTGCTTGATGTCATGCCTCTTCCCACCAGGTGAGACGTTAGACAATGTACGTTTCTTCCATGCTACTATCCTTTGCTTTTTTGCGTTATATTATATTTTGATGCGACCACTGCGACCACTCTGCGCTCCCAGTTAAGGTTGATCGATCTCCCGTTCTCGAAAGGAAGACGGCCGACAGTTCTATGCATATGATCACTCATAAACATAAGAAAAAGGCCCGCGCCCCTCCCTTTGCCCAACCGTCTCGGCCACCTCCTGTCCGTCTCTCCAGCCAGTCCACGCCGCAACACTCGACTTACGTGGTCTCACAGCCAAAAGCAGTGTAACATGATAGGCCAGACAGCTTCGATGGTGCCAGGTAGCACGCGCACATACATGCCACACACCCTGGTGCTGACTGCTCTGTCTCCCTTCTAGTTATCAGATTATCTTCTGTATCAGGTTGCAAGGTACAACATACAACATACATCGGAGGAGTCTCTCTTTGATACCAGGATGAACCGGTGAAAAGCACCCCTATATCTATTTCATACATGGCTCTCCGCCGATACCACTGCGTATCAGTGCTACCTTTGAAATGAACGTTGCACGAACCGTATGAACCCAGTTTCTCTTAGGGGTTATAGTTATGTACATCGATATGTCCTATAGATGCTCTGTATACCCTTGCAGTGCATACTTTGATAGCCTCGGCCTACACGCCTCTCAGCCACAAGGATGTGCCGCCTGGAAGTTCCTTTGACCTTGGACCGTCTCTGCCGTTACACGCCATGCCAACTTGTCTGCCTGTTTAATAGCCATCGATCGTAGCTTGGACGTTGTATGTTACACTGCACCAGCTGCTAAATATGCAAGGCAAGCCCAAAACTGGAAAAACACGGCAGAGTCGGTGGTTCAAAATAGCTTGCCCTATCGAGGCCGGAGTGCTACATTAACCAATAGATGTATACGGAGGTTACACCCGATTGAACAGAAAGAACTGTACAAACGGGGACCAGATTGAAAAAAAGGAATGAAAAAACAACAAGACAGAGAAAGGCAGAGTAGCCACCCTACAGCCTGCTGAGATAGACCGGGCCAGACGAGCAACTCATCGAACAGGAACAGGATTGACTGACAATCAGAAAAGAGCTAGCCATGGAATAAGAAAGGAGGTCAGGATATACGTTGCGATTTTTCACTTGACCAGTTGTATTCACCAATGAACTCACCACATATATGCTCTTCACCAGCTGATTAGCCCCCGTTCTCGATCAAAACCTCCCCTCAGTTGTGTATCAGGTTTAACAACCTTGCCCTTGAGCACAGTGTACTTGATGATACCTTCGCAGTCTTCTGGGCGGATTCTGGCAAGCCATATGCCCTGAACGGCGCCCTCGCTACCACCATCAAGACCATCGCCGCGATCGTCGTAGTCTCCCTGGCCTTTCTTCTGCGCTTCTTTTATATACCACTGAAAATCTCTCCTCCGATAGACCATCACGTTGGCGGAGTATTTGTGTCCTCCCACATGCGAGATGAAGTATATACCTACCCCGCCTGGTCTTTCGTCGTGAAGATCCCGGTACAAGCCCAGTGGACGTAAGTGGCGTTCAAACTCACGCCTCAAGAGGGGAGCTGACTGGCCGCATCGTGCATCGCGGGTACGCTGTGAACAGAGCAGTATCACCGCTGAATGTGGACAGGGGCGAGAAAGAAGAGGTGTGGGAATCTTAGCAGCAGCAGACACATCATGATCTCCCTCTGCGTTTCTCCCACTTATAGACGGGGACTGACTTCCTGATTTTGCGCCTTCAATTGGTCCTGTTGTATCTACCACGGGAGTGCTGTTCGGTAATGGCGGTTGATTCAGCGGTGTGGTCGTTGTGGCAGCCTTATCGACGAAGTGGTAAATTAGGTCTGGCGCAAGCGCGGGTGTGACATTCTCCACTATTGTGAATGCAGGTAATATCAAGGCTGTTGTCGGCTGTTCCCCCTCAGGATACATATGGTATTCATCTGGTACCGGCATATTAGAGGCGGATAGTTTGAGCGTCTGCATCATATGGCCGTATTAGCACGTCATGGTATATTGCCTCTGTCCTACGGTGTATAGACACATACTCCATTTACAGGCTTCACCCCACTCTTTTCGACAGCTTCCATAACGCTGCCTTTTTCGTCGGCGACATCTCGAACCCAGTCTGTCTTGCCCGTCGCGATAAGGACGTGGGTTGCCCATCCCGCGACGTTCCCGTATAATTTGTCTTCCAAGTCCACAACAAATTTCGCAGGGTACCGGATCGTACAGCTTGCGCAATCTCTGTCACAATCTTCTCCGTCTAGTTCAGGCCGGACTTTGGGGAATAACACATCTTCACTGGCAGTGGTAAAAGTTACCTGCGTCTCCTCTTTCGGCTCATCATCAACATCCGCTTCAGCCGGAATATCGTTGATTTGGCCATCAGTTGATGTAGTTAGGTTCGATCGAGACGAAGACGCCGATAGAGAGAGTGACGAGAGTCCTCTCTTCAGGAATGCCTGCATAGTGGACTATGTTGTTGATATCTGTTGAGCATTGTGGGGTTATCAGATCAAAGATTGAAATTTATCTTATCTGATGCGTCTTAGACGACCCGAGCCTCGCTTCGGCGGAAAAATAGGCGCCGGCTCTTATCACGTGTATACTATCTTTACATAAGCAAGTAGCTTTTTCCATTCTTTTCTTTCTTCTGATACCAAACGGTTCCCTACTAACTGACAGGAGACTAAGTATGGATTCTCAAACTTTATACTTGAGGAAATGCAGTGGATATACCCGTCAAAAATACCCCTGGCATTAGTTGAGGTTTCAAAAGGAGGACAGTGTGGCGTGGCATCCTCCCCAAGGCATTGCAGATAACCAACTCACACTGCATATGCAGAACTAAGTGGACCAGCCTGGTTGGGGACGGTTTAGTCCGCAAAAAGAAAGTGGCAGAGGCATCTATTCGGGCGAAGGGAAATCTGATCCTGGCATGTTCATGTATGCCTCAAGTGATGACATATATCCTTGTTTTTACTTGCCCTCAGCAAATAAACTTGCACATTTGACGCATGGCCGAACCAAATACGACCCGCCCTCAAAGTGTCAACCGATGTCTATTTGCTGTTTCCTATGTTAATTTACTTAAACATTCCAAGTTTTACCGCAAGGTTCCGGAAACCTAGCCGTTGAAAGCTATTGTAAATAGGTAGACTACGGAACAGCACCATTTCTATACGGAAGTCTAGGTAGGCCTCTACACTCAATCTCCCCAGCACGCCAGGAGAAGTGATTGATTATGATAAACCTTTCCATTCCAATATCTTGAGTGGGTATTTCCTGTTTTTAGAAGCAGTGGGGAAAAAAACTGGGTTGATACAATGTGTGTTAATAGTATCTAAATGCTAAGAAGTATCTGATATCTCCATGGCCTGTTTCTTGACCTGTTCTACCGTGGAAGAAGTCGCAAAGACTGCTTACCAGTCCCAACCTTATTTCATCTGGTATATGATTTTTGGCATGAAATTATATCTGCCATAGCTCCTTTGCCAGCCGAGATGCTGTAGGTCGGATAGTCGAGAGAGTATTAACCAAAGCTTGGTATTGGAGCCCGAGCACTCCGCATCGAAGTGTCCGTCCGGGAACCTCGCATAAGAGTAGCTCGGCTCACTCCTTCTCTTAGAGCTGCTTAAATTGGGCACTGATGAACCTTTGGTAAGATTTCTGGCACCATTATAGAGTATTTCTAATAATATAGACAAGGGTGACAGCCGAGTCTCTGGTTGTACATTATGAGTCATCGAGACCCATGATAGACATACAACACCACTTGGGGTGAGTGGTGTACAATTGGCCGTTATCCACCATATTCATACATGAGAAACTGTGCGGTGAACGACACTTTCTCCGGAGTTAACGGAAGCATTTGAGCGTACTAGCTGTAAAGATCTGGTGGATGGGGTTCGCCGTGCCCGCACACTGCGTGTATCATTTGTTTCAAGACGGAAGCTGCTCTTATCAGAAGCCGAGTAAATCGAAGAATACCACGAGCGAGATGGTCGAAGCCCCCTATTCTCATCAACTGATACAAAAGATGGGTCGGAACTTGAAAAAACGGGTCTATTTCCGTAAGAAGAACCTTGGCCAACAACTGATCCCCCGCGATCAGACGAGTCCGTTGACTGTATTTCCGAAATAATGGACGGATCAATTTCTTTCATGCTCCGTAAAATTTCAGCAAAGAGTCCTATCATTTGACGAAATTCGCTTTCCTCTAGCGGCCGCGCTGAGAACCGCGAACACTCGTACAGCCGAAGAAAATCTCGGATTAGGTGCGGTGGGTCAATCAGGTTAAGGCGGTTGAGGTGGTTCAAGTAGTCACGAAGGCACATATTTGATGGCCTCTGCAATATCTCGACGACACGTTTATCTGGGACCACCTCCTGACCTCTCTCATTATCCTGAAAGTTATTGGAAGCTTGATGATTCAGTCGCGACGCTGGCCTGGGGTCCATAGGAGCTAGAGATACAGCTTTGGCCTCTATCAAATGGGGAAGTTCTTTGATGACTACTTCAAACTCCTGGTTTGGAAGATCTTGACAATGCGGTGCCGTCCAGCCCGCATGTGAAATCGAGCCCCAAGGAGGATCTTGATCTCTTGGAATTAGAAGGGATTGGTCAAGATGAGAGGTATCGTCCTGGTTAATATCCCTTGGCCGGGCCTGTTGGGCAATGACAGAGCTCCGGAGGAAGCCTTCAACAACAAGCCTTCTGACAGTCGCTGGTACGTCTGCTTTCTCGACGGGGATCCATGGCTTTGGGATTGCCGCAAAAACGCCACGGTTTGTGAACAAGCGGCCAGCATATATCACGAAGGAAAATGATAGAGTAAGTAAATACACTATACTCACGGCAAAGATGTTGCCTAGACTGTTGTTTCGACGGGACTGATAGATAATATCTGCAGGGGAAAGGATTGTCAAGGCTAGGAGAATAATGGAAAGGAAGGAAAAGAGAGTCGCGGAGACGATGCGAAATAGGCGCCTATAAAATGACATGCTGAATATCAAAACTTATGCAAAATAGCCCTAAGGGAGTATACATAGGCTGCATAGCTGAAAGATGCAGGGCTTCTTGCTTCCTTATCATCCATCTTGTTGTTTGTTCGTCCTTTTGATTGCTTCCTTTTGCCCCTTAAACTAAAATATATGATTACATAATCAAGACTATCAAATGGACTTGATCTTATGGAAATGTCGAGAGATCTCAAAGAATCTGGAAGATGAATGTACCATAGGTATATATATTATATTTGTATACAGACTAGGTAACTCTAATTATTAGTTTCAATGGTAGGGATGACTCAATTTCCTTCTGCACGGGCGACAAGCCCTGCATCTAATCCAGTCGGTTCCCATGTATCCTTGATCTTCTTGTTTTGAGCCCAGACTACGTCTCCCTTCAGATATACAAGAACACCGCCCTTCCCATTAGCACTGGCCGTGATCCTGAACAGAGGAAGACCACTCTGCAAATGGGCTTCGCGGAGGGGAACCATGAGGAGACCCTCGTCGCCACACCATTCCTCAACGATATCTTTGAAGGAAGGCTCCTCAATGTGTACCTTTTGCGATTTCGCAGGTTTTCCATTTGCATTCTTGTCGCGGAGTTTGTGGTGTGATGGCTTTTGATGAGATGATGACGAGGAAGCAGGAGGTGGTAGATCCGTCTTTGCTTTGTCTCCAAGATCGAGGGCCAGGTTCATCATTTCAAGGCCTCGGTTCCATTCCGCTGCAACTTCGGGGATAGCATTGACTTCGTCTGGTATTTGTGACTTCCACCAAGAGAACCACTGGCCAACTTCATCGTAGTTTGGTTCTGAGGTGAGCCAGAGGTGCAAGATAGCATGCCATTTTGGGAAAAATTCGGCAGAGAGTAGAAGCCCCAGAACACTGGGTTTAAAGAATGGCTTCCACTTCATCACATCTTCAAACGCAGTTAGGTCCTGATCCTGTGGATTAACGTCAAACTCTTCCCGCAGGTGGCAGCCAAGCCGGGGTAGAAGATGATTCTGCAAAGCTTTATCAAATTCCGAGCCCAGGACTTCTTTCCACACTTCAATTTTGTGTATAAGGCCACGACCCAGATCCCAGGTATCCAATAACACCCGAAACTTCCTCTTCGCATCTGACATCAGACCAGTTGGTGCCTTGGGGTCAGTATGATGCTCATCGAGATAATGTAGCCAGTCAAAAAGCCACCAGGGGAAATATTGTGATGAGCCATTGCTCTTACTGCTCTTCGGCCGCCAGGATTTTAGTGCTGCGGTGAGCTTAGGAACAATTACCTGATTTAGTATATTTGAATATACAAATCCAGGTAGAAGGTCTTTCCATTCCTCCATAAGTGATGTTGCAGGACCAGGGTTATGAACTTCCCATTCATTCATTAGAGCGGACCGAACCCTGGGGAGCCACAAAGTGTACATCATAGACTCGTATGGTGTAGTTGACTGACGGTATTTTTGTGTTTCGATGTTTGCCTTTTTCGTGCGGGACATGAATCGATGTAAGCGGCGGAAATGTGAAACTAGATACTTTGGATTTGACAGAGGAGCCCAGTCCTCCAAAGACTCCTTCAACAACGGATGAACAGCAGCAACAGCAACTTCCGGAAGATGACATTCATCAATCAAGTCTTGATAGTTTGTTTCAATGTCTTCCAATTTCGCAGTAATTTCTTCCCATCTTTTGTCAAGACCCTCGTCTAAATTCGTGATTTCTAATCCTTCGATAGCATGTGTCAAAGCGGTTACGTTCTCCAATTTGGACTGCTGAGCATCCATTTCATCAACGATTTGGGCTTCCTCAAGTTCAACAAACTTCTTTCTCTCGCTGAGGCCTTTCCATTCATCAGCAAACGCTTCGAGGTCATGACGGGCACGTCGAGCAATTTTCCAAGCTTCTCCTTCATTTGCATTAACAAATTCCATTGGAGTCATCAGACCAGCCGTTGATGTCAAGAGTTTCTGTTCCTTGCCGGTGGCATCAACTAAGGACTTCAGCACATTGGGAACCGCAAGTCCAGCCGCATCGGCTTCAATCTCCCGTGCTGTCCTATACTTCGGCTTTGCTGAACCTCTGGGTGTACTGGCTCCGCTTCCACCGCTGGTCCCTTCTCGCTGCCTTTTTTCTTTGAGCTTTTTACGCAGCTTGCGTTCCTCGTCGGAGCTCGTTTCTAGAACCTCCCCTCTCCTGGCAGCTTCTCGTCTGGCTTCGTCTTTTGCCTGTTGTGATTTCTCCTTGACCGCACCTAAACCAACTCCCTGCGGTCTGAGGACCGTTTCCACAGGATTGAGGATACCCTGTCCACTTGTACCAAGACCCTGACCTTCCACATAGCCCATCTTTGCCATCATGCGGGCTGCAAAGCTGTTGGCTACCATGGGGCTCGACTTTCCTCCGCCGCCTGACTTTCCATTGTTTGTTGCATTCTTCCATGCTGGGCGAGCTGGTTTCGACGCCATGGTCGGAGGTGACGGTGAACGGTTGAAAGCAGGCGCAAAACCCTGAAATCCAAACGACGGTCTCGCGTAGGCCTCTTCCTCTTCCTCCTCCGAGTCCACGTCACTGATCTTCCGTTTCTGCCTTGCAAAGGACGGGCGATATGTAGAATCCATCGAGCTTGTAACCCTGTGTCCTGGAGGTTAAACTAGGTATACAGCAGGGAAAACGGTAGTGTAGTCAAAATGGACGTCAAAAGCTCTGCTCCCACCCCCCACGAAGCCCTTTTGACTTGCTGCCTTGTGATAAGTTGATGTGCCCGACTTTGTTCATCGTCGCGCTTCTTCTGCTGGATCAAAATTAAAGTTCCGGACATCTGATATCGGATAAAATGTATTGCCTTATCTCCGAGACGCCGATGACATCAGTGATTACTAATAGCAACATTGACATCAACAACAACTTTTGCATCTAAAACTTGTCAACATCGTTGTTGATATCATCAATCACCACCGAGGATCACCGAGATTGGAGTATATAAGGCCTCAATCATCCTACCACATTTCAATTGAGCCGACCAGAACCGAGTATAAGCCAGAGATTTGCTAAAAATGGCCACTTCTACTCTTTTCCGACCAGCTGCCCGTGCTGGAGCTGCAGCATTCCGCTCGGCCGGCCCCCGAGGCCTTGCAGGTGTTGCTTCTGCTCGATTCATCACCAAGGTTACTTTGCCGGACCTGCCATGTAAGTGTGGATGGATGGGGTATATCCTTTCTACTTCATGCACCTTTAAGTTGTCGACTTTGTTTACGTCCTTCTATTACACCCAGTGGAAGCGCCGGGTTGCCCAAATGCTGCTTATATTTTATCCAGATACCATTGGACAGCCATCACTGACTTGATATTTCCATAGATGACTATGGCGCGCTTGAGCCAACCATTTCCGGCAAGATCATGGAACTTCATCATTCTAAGCATCATCAAACCTACGTCAACTCCTACAACGACGCAGTTGAGAAGCTTGCCAGTGCCCAGGGCAAAGCCGATATCCAGACCCAGGTCTCCTTGCAGGCATTGACCAGCTTCCACGGAGGTGGTCACGTCAACCACTCTCTGTTCTGGGAGAACTTGGCTCCCAAGAACTCTGGTGGTGGTGAGCCCCCATCTGGTGCTCTTGCAAAGGCCATTGATGAATCTTTTGGTGGCCTCGAACCGTTCCAGAAGACCTTCAACACTGCTTTGGCTGGTATCCAGGGAAGCGGTTGGGGATGGTTGGTGAAGGATAAGCAGACTGGCAAGATCCAGATCAAAACTTATGCTGTATGCCGAGGCCTCTCCCTTTTCCTAGTTTTAGATGCTGACGTTCCGTTCCTATTAGAACCAAGACGCTGTCTCCGGTCAATTCATCCCTCTTCTCGGCATTGATGCCTGGGAGCACGCATACTAGTCAGTTTCCCTTCATCTGTCCTCAACGTATGCACTTACTAACAAATATATGTGTAAATAGCCTCCAGTATGAGAACCGCAAAGCTGAGTATTTCGGCGCCATATGGGATGTTATTAACTGGAAGACTGTCGAGAAGAGATATGCCTAAAGGAAATCTCTTTTGTATATGTACAACAGCTCCCGGCTGTATACAGCGGCACTTCGTTTCCAAGTCTTTCTGAGACAAGTTTCCCAAAACAAAATATTCCCCTGAGCTGTGCGTATCTTTTTGTAACTTTATATATACAAATCCCTGCGGTCTTAAAGCACCAATATACCTCGCTTAAACAAGCCATGCTAGGAAAAAAGGGAGCCTAATTTAACAGTATAGATAGCTGTATCATTTCATCGTCTAACAAGAATACGTCGTGATCCCACCTAGGTTGGGAAAGCATATCTAATCTTATCACCATAGCACATCCATTTCACACACTTTACTTGTTTCTTCTTTTCTTTTTCTTGTCCTCAATCGTTCACTCCCTTCCTTATAAAACGTCAGGCTAAGAAAAAAAGTCGGATTTGTAT